TTAAATTAAATAAATTTTTATTTCATTTTATTTAAATTAAATTAATTAGTTAAATTTAATATTATATGGAAAATAAAAAAAAATAACTTAAATAAAGAACGCTTCAGAAAATAAAAAAAAAACCAAAAAGAAAAAAAAATAAATGTATATAAAAAGTGTATTAACTAAACGAATTAAATTTTGTTTTCTTTTTTTTCTAGTTTTAGATTTAACGTTTAAAATATATTGATGTTATGCCTTTTGGTAAGCATAGTAAAAATAAAATATCATTAAGCAAGAAATATTTATTAGAATTATTCTACTCAACAACCATGATATGATATTGAGTTCTATCTAAACGACACAGACTGAATCTGATCTTAGCTATCAATGCTAAGTAAGCTTTATTAAATTAAGCTTGATCAGCTATGCCGAAACATATTTCCTCCAATAACAATCTACTCTAGACTCTCTTCACTCTATACACTTTCCATACGCCTCATAGCAATAGCTAAGCTGCCACGTTACATACGACTTGCTGCAACTAACATACCCCTCGCTAGGCCAAACGAAATGTTATCAGATAACATGTAAAAGTGCGAATATTCGTTGAGCTTTACGATTTGGTTGTTGCTGAAGGGGCAACCGGTTGAGCGCAGCATGTGTCGGGCATATTTGACACATATCACTTGGAGTTTTACACTTCTTCTAGTTATTTTTTTTTTTATGCAAACTGGCTAACTGCCCCTTGAAGGATTCGATCCATTGTCCATTCAAACGTGTGCATACAGAGCCAGCAGACATATCGAGTTTGCATTCAATTTCTTGTTGCTCGGCTGGGGCCACGTGTGCTGGCTGTGGATGTGTGTGGAAAGGGTTGGCCAGACGGATTCGAGCAACTCTCGGCGCACATATTAAAAATTTTGCCTCGTTGAGTGGCTGCGCAGAGTGCTCTGGACTTAAGTAAACACAAAGTCCCAGTCCGTGGGGGATAAGGCGAGATAATTAGTTACTTTGTGTCGTTGTGGTTCCAACATCCCCTCGAACTTGCCACCTTTCGTCTGGGTCTCTGCCTGATTTGTAGTGGATAGCTTCAAAGTGGCGCGTGTCTCGCTCCAAAGCAATCCATAGTCCGTAGTCCGTAGTCCGCTGTCCGTCGTCCGTCGTCCGTATTCCGGGCCCGAGCTTAGTTTGGTTTAGTATACTACGAACGGTCCATCACCATCCACATTTATTTGTATTGGCTGAGTGTATTTGATTACGCTCTCTACGGTCCGTAGGGTTAATTGAATTTGCTTTTGAGTTGCTGCCCAGCAGACAACGGGTCCGAGACAGATAGACGATTTGCCATATCTATAAAGCCGTTCCACACTCACATCACAGCGCAAAATATATATTCATGAGCTGCTGGGACAGTTGAGCGAGCGGTCGCTTCGCCTTTGGCTCTAAGGTTTCTGTTTGCTTTTGATTAATTGCATAAAAAGTGGAAAATTGCCAAATTGTTTATTTCTTTTTTGGGCACATTTCTGCTCGGGTTATTTATAGTTAGTTGGGCAGGTAAGCCTAAACTGCTATGGATCTGCCAGCTAAGCATGTGCAATAATTGTTCTTTGAAAATGGGCAATAAATGTGAAAAATATTATGATGGAGCGCAGATGAGATATATAGAGAGAATTTTATCATTTTATCAATAGATGCATAGAAAATAATATCATATAGAATAATATGAGAGCTTAATGAATCAAAGAGTGCGAATACATAAGAGATTTTATAGATTAGCTAGAAATTGCCTGAAGAAACTTTATGAAAATCGCATAGAAGCGATGCAGCTTCAACGAGCAATAAAAGATAGGCTAAAAAGTGCACTTGAATATGGCTGAAAAGCAAAAATTGTTTGCAAAAATTATTTGATTTTATACAGGGAAAATCGCATAGAAAAGCACTGAGCTTTTGACTTAAAGTGTAAGAGATTTAAAGTAAGTGAAAAAATAGAAAAAGTACCTAAAGCAGGACAGAGTTTTTCTAATCAAAGTTAGCTCATGAAAATCGCGTAGAAGAGTGGAAGTGTGAGCGAGTAATAGAAAATGGGCAGAGCTAATTGCAGAACTCTCACTGCTAAATGCCAAAGGCCTTTTTTTAATTATGAAAATCGCAAAGAAGAGCGCTATAAAGGAAATTACAAGAAATATGAAATATTATATGAAATATTATATGAAAATAAAATAAATCAATTCACTATATAACCGTCATATTTCTTGTAATTTCCTTTAGAATTTCCACAGAAGAGCACTGGACATTGATAGAAAAATCAGATAAGTGTGCTTATGAGAGTTGCAAACCAGAGAGCGAATGTTATTGAGAGAGTAATAGAAAAAAACAAAGGACAATTCCTAAATATGCCAGCTAAGTAGTAGGTGGACTTAATTTGTAATACGAAAATCACGCAGAAAGACAAAACAAATATGAAAGCTCAAAAGCTTTAAATTGGCTCATGAAAATTGCATAGAAGAGCGTTGACTATTCGAGTTAGCAAAGCTGCGTAAGCTGCTATCAAATATGATTTCAGAGAGCAAAATAAAATATAAGACATAATAATTAATAGAAATACTGTATTATATAAAAATATGTCACACTTTTAATTAAGTTAACTAAGCAATAATATTTATTAAAAAAAACAAGAGTTCAGATAAAGAACACAATAATAAGACGCATGTTAATTTTAGACAAAGATTAACTAAGCAAATATTAATCACTAACAAATTGTGTTTCTATCAGGACTGAACACTTCAATTCAAATACTAATCTGGGTCAATGTTCAATAAGAAAATAAATATAGCTATTGCCAGGCAATTGGCATATTAATTTTAGCCTCTACTTCCTAACAGAGCCAAAGACAGCTGCTCCAAACACAGAGAGCGAGAGAGAGGGAGAGAGAGGGAGAGAGGTAAGCAGCCAGCATCCAATTACCATTCTTCACTTAGTAGCATCCAATCATCCAATAAAACGCGCTGTGTGTGGGCAATATTTGAGCAGCACTTGAAACGCACACGAAATGAACATGGCCAACAGGCGCAACAATTGGGCAGCAAACAGTTAAAGCCATTTTACACTCAACTGGCAGCTAACGATCGAAAGTATCTCACAGATACAAGTTGCTGGGAGAGTACAAGCGTTTAACGCTAAATAAAAACTAAGTAAATAATTTAGTGGGCCAGCACAGGCGAAGGCACTTGAAGCGAATGAAACTCTAGAGCTAACGCTGCTCGGCTTCTCGTATTTATTTGCAGTTTTCGCATTTTAAGCCGATAAAAGGCGAAACAGGACGTTCGGATGCTGTGAGTGAGTGAGTGGTCCTTCATTGTGCATGTGTGAGAGAGCGGGCGAGTGTGTGCGTGCCTGTGTGGATAGTAAATAAAATGACAAGCGTTTGACAGAAGCACCGGAATATCCGTCAGTTTGGCGACGATGCGAACGATGCGCCCGTCCGGCCACGGGACACCGAAAGTTCCGTGAGTCGAGCTCAGTTTAGAAAAATGTTCTGCTGCACAACTGTCCTGTTTCGCTTGGTCCAACGCCCCCCGTCTCTCCGACCGACTGCCAGCCTGTCTATCTGTGATGTGCTGCGTGTGCGATGTTTGTTTGCGTGTTACAGTTACATTCATAATACAAAAGCATACGAGACTTGGCAGCCATCACAGCATCATTTCCTACGCCATTTTTAGTCTCTGCCTGTGTCAACTATTCTAATAGCTTAGTGTGTGTAAGCATGTGCGTGAGTGTGTGTGATTTACAGTTACGCTGATTGCGGGGATAATGCTAGTGCTCGCAGCGGAAGACTCTGTACCTTTCACGCACACACACACACACAGAGAGGCTGCCTGGGAGAGAGAGAGGGAGAGTGGGGGGGAGAGCGAGTCAAGCGCATTGGCAAACGGAAGTGAAAGCTGAACGCAACCGGCAAAGCGGATGTTAACTTAAAGGTATAAAGAAATTGAATCAAAGTGAAAATATTATAAAAATAAATAAGACAAGCAAAAGTACTATTGGTGAGCGTGCTCGACTCAGAGATACCCTAACCAGAAGTTAAATTATTTAAAATGAAAGGAAGTGAGCTAAAAATTCTTTTGTATATGAACTGGCAGACTATCGTAATGATGATGATGATGCTGATGAAGATGTAGTTGATGATAATAATGATTATAGACATCAGCATTATTAAAGTTGTGTCTGATCAGAGTAAATAAAAGAGCAGCTGAGGCAATAAAGTTTATTCTGAGTAAGTTTCTTTGCTCGCTTACGACAAGGAGCAATATAAATGTAGATAGAACTACAACTACAAGAAAGTCAGAGCATAGAAATATAGAAAATCAGAGAGAGCATCAGCTCATGCCTGCAGAATAAATATATATATAAATAAATCAAAGATGCTTGCCACTTTCAACTTTCTAGAAGGCACCAATATGCCCTCTTACACCAACTTTCAATAAAACTTCGGGCATAAAATGCTCAACTAAAGGCGATTGCATTTGCCGTTAGCTAAGTGCCGTCGACTTTGAACTATGACGTTGGCTTTTAGTGTATTAGGAAAATGTTAAAACGTCAAAGTGGAAGACGCCGAAGCAGAGAAAGAAGTTATAGAGAAATATAGACAGTTGCAGCTACTTACAGGCAGTGGCAGGTGGCAGGTGGTAGGTGGTAGATGGCAGTGCCATCCGCTGCTAATACAAAATAATGCAATTTTGCAAGGACAACGATAATGACAGCGAACAGAAGGAATTCATTTGGCTTAGGCAACGCACAGCAACAGGATCAGAGGCTAAGTCAATAGCAGATAAAGTATAGAATGAGATTAAGGACATGCCAAAGACTCTAAGTAAATTGTTGCCTAATACTGGAATGGGAATTTACGGCTGAAGTGTGAGGCAAAGCTAGTTGTAGTCACTCATGTAAATATTTATATTTACTAGACGAGCACAGAATGAAATAGTTATATATCAATATATTTGTTAATATGTACTTACCCAAAAATTCACAAAGCACCGAAGCTTATTACATTGCCGTCTAATCAAGGAGGAAGGACTGACTTTTATATAAACACATCACTGAAAGTAGAAGAAAATAAAATGACTTATGGTGAGTACAGAGGACTAGCTGGAGATGCTGCAGATGTAGTTAGACAGAAAGAGAGCGAGAGAAGGAGGGAGAGAGAAAATTATATTTTAAGTATAGATCAAGCGTGGTAGATTGTCAGATGAGCTCTTAATAAATTACCTGAAAATATATATATATGTCTATTAATATAGATACATAAATATATATATATAAACAAAAAGCATGAAATAGTGCACGGCCTGCTTAAATTCATGAGAATCGCATTGTAAGGCCTACACTACAGCAGTCTATAGGAAGTGAAGTGAAGTGAGTTTGGTATGAAACACAGACGTATTTTCACTTTGGTCTGCCTCAGCTCGCAGCTCTATATTATAATCAAATTTAATGTCTGCAGCTAATCACTGCTAAGTCAAGCACATGTAGTAGTTAAAAACAGTTCAAGCATTCTTGACTAAACTTCGTATGCTCCATGGGCACTTAAGCTCTGCTTATTACATAAGCCCACATAACCCATTTATATTGAGACAGGGCAAAGCTGAATGTTTCAATTTAGTGTCGAGCTAAACCAAAATAATGATTATCACAACTGTCACACTGTGTAAATATGAATGCTGTGTGTGTGTGTGTGTGTTTATGTGGCTTCATTAAGTGCTGGCAGTCGTAATTCCCTCACTTCCATTTCAGAATTACATTTAAGCCAACATAAATGTTATGCCATATTTATAAATCCCCAACCACAGCAGAGCTGACTTTGTACGTGTTCAGCGGGCGTCTCTCTCTCTCCCTCTGTGTGTGTCATTTGTACTTAAACCCAATTTGTTGGCTATTTTTATGATAGTATGTAGATTTTCATATGTATTTTTATTTTGGCCATTTATTGCTGCAGTGGAGCCAACAACACTCGTATAAGCCATAAGCGCATTAACGCAATTCAATTTGCTCTGTTTACGTAGCAGCAAAAACAACTGGCTCGACAGCAACAGCAGCCGCAACAGCACGAGCCATACAAAGCCCATCAAACAATGTAGGTGGCGCCACCTGTGTGCGAGCTATAGCAACAAAAAACAATACAACCAGGTAAACGTATTAACTTCCGTTCACTTTTATAGGCACGGTCCACAGCGACAACAACAGCAAAAAATAACCCACACTCACTCACACACAGAGACGGTCATATGCCGAAAAGTCCATGATGTCCATGAATCGATGTCCACGTTTAGAGACCACGTCCAATGGCCTATTATCATGCAGCAACGGCAGCTACAGCAGCTCACGATGTGTCCTTCTGCTGCTAACAGAGTGTTGGCTAACAAAGTTACTACAGCAACTCAGCTACACTGCGCAAATAGTTGCTGTGACTCAAATTGAGAGATTTATAAAAATAATAAGAATTTAATACGATATCTGAATATATAAAACTAGTTTCAATTATTTTAAATATGAGCGATGATATTAATTACTGAGCTAATTGAACTTTGCGAATCTGAGTTAAACTTCCAGTGAAGAGTAAAGACAAGGTATATAATATACTGTCGTTAAGGGGTTCGATAAATATTCTTATATTACTTCAGCACAAATCTAAAGACATATAGAATATAATTTTATTTCAAAATGAGCTAACTGAATTATGCAAAATTGTTTACACGTGCCAGTAGAGTTTTTATATATACCTTTATTCCATTACAGATCTTTGACGTATATCTTCCGTACTTCCGTCATGATCTCAGACACCCCACAAGTCCTCGAAAGAAAATCTACTTCTTGATAGAACTTCATTTCAGTGATCTTCTATTGCGACTCAACATCAATATCCATTCAATACTTTGGTACAAGCCTTTCAGACAACGTTCAATTAAGCAAGTACTCTATACATATTATATATGTATACATATTATATTACATTATACATATTATAACTCACTGTTACGCCTAGGCTGTGCAGCGCAGAGCACTCGAAAAGCAGTACAGTTCAATATATCAAGTGTTTTTTGTAGAGTTCCATAAGTTTAAATTATTATAAAATATATAAATATGTTTTAAATATCAATAAAGTATATGTTATTGAATAGCAAATATTATGACATTAACGATTATTAGAAGCAATTTGCAACACCAATTTTTATAAACATCACAATCATGACTAGCATCGAGAAGCAATGACTTTCTAACAAAGGCAATTTTTTATGTTGCTCCGACCAGAACTTCTGGATTGTCCGCTAAAAACAACAGTATTCATTATGATTTATAGACAGAATTACAAGAAGAATAACTCAACAAGACGATATACATATTTATTAAAGATGACCAATTTTAGTTCAATTTGTTTAATAAGCTTCACTATTTTAAGCAGTTCATGAACAACTTTTGTTAATCGATTGACCAGCATTAACAGCTCGTTTATGAACAGCCAAAGAACTAGCTAAAAAATATATTTTTTGAACTAATAAATTCATAATTAAATAATGAAGAGTAGACTGAGTAGAGTTCATGAGCCACTAAAACTAATTGCTCATGAATAACTGAGTAAGATAGTAGTTCACATTAGTTCAATTGAATCTTAGTGGAATATAACAGCTATAAGTGTTAGGTAAACATATATATATAGATATATCTATGTATATTTATAAAAATATATATATATTATTTATTTTCAGAGAAGTTGTATTCCAACTTATTAACAACATCTTCCACATACCCTAAAATCAAGGTGTCAAACATAATTTCTCACAGTGTATATGGTCAGTTGCGAGCTACAAGCAGTATATATTCAAAAAGAGAAAGAGAGACAACGTCAACAAGCGAGAGAGAGAGAGATAGGCGGACATCGTGTTATGCCCACGAGCTGGCCATGCATAAAGCACTCGCTTGCTGCTGACGTGTAGTGTTGTGTTTGGCCTGTGTTGTGCTGTGTAGTGTAGTGTTATGTGTTATGTGTGTTATAGGCCTTCTGATCTGGCCCGACTGTTGCTGCTGCTGCTGCTGCTGCTGCTGCTGCAACTGACAGTTTGTTCAATTTTGTATTGGAATGGCATCATCCTCACATCGTCCTGCGCACTTTGCTGCTCGTCAGCTGAAGCTCCTGTGTTTTCGTTTTCGTTTTTTTTTCATTCCTTTGTTTTTATGGGTCAACGGCACAAAACGAAAAATGCAAATGTGTGTGTGTGCGTATTCGATTTTACGGCTAGAGAAGTGGGGGTGGGGCTAGGGCTAAAGACTGAGAGTCGAGGTGTGTCTGACATGTCTGAAAGGTGTATACGTGTTGGTATTATCTAAGGCTGTTAGGATTTAAATAGTTTTTCCAATTAGAAATGAAACTTGATTGGGAAAATCCGTTCAATGTAAGGCATGTGAACTGCGTAGTTTTTAATAATTGACATTTACTTTGAAAATGCACTTAGAGCTCTCCCCAGTGTCCCCGGCACTCATAAATGACATTTACACAGAGAATGCGGTCAAGAGCTCTTTGGATGAGTTGAATAAACTCGATTTTTGTTAGATTTTTATATTAATTAATAAAATTGAGGCTTATATATAAATAAAGTGGATGCTATAGAAGTTGGAAGTGTCAGAGTAGGAAATAGAATTAATCCTATGCTACATAGAACAATTAATTTGTATACAATTTTGTATAAGCTGGGATAGTTTTATAAAGAGTGAATTACACTTTATGTATTCATACTTAATTTGACTCTGTATAACAAATTTGGTTACTTTAGCTTTTAAAGCTTTCGAGTTCCACTCATCAAACTGATTTTCGATATCGATTTTAATCGATTTCGTAGAAAAAGAAAAAATTGTAGCTGATTTCCAAGAAATCTGCTCTTCCATGCTGTAGCAGCAGCTATGTGTTAAGGCTTAGATCGCTGGATCATAGCTTTATAGGATAGATGAACAGACTGAAAGAGCAACAGGGCGGATAGACGGACAGACAGACTGAAAGTGAGTTAGACAGAGGGATAGACAGGGATAGACAGACAAACAGATAGAGCGACGGACAGGTCGAGAGATGATCTGACACACAGAGAGAAAGATGGATATAAAATCTTTCTCTCTGTGTATCAGATCATCTCACGATTTTATATCCAACTTTCTCTCTCTGGCTAAAATAGACAGACGGACAGACAGACAAATAGTTAGTCAGAGAGACGAGCAGACAAACAGAAAGATGATCAGACATACAGAGGCACAGATAGATAGACTGACAAACAGATCGAGAGACTATCTGACATGCAGAGAGAAGGATGGATGGACAGGCAGATATAAAGATAGATAGACAGAGAGACAAATAGTCCGCCAGATAGACAGAGAGACAATCAGACATACATAGGGACGAACAGACAGATAGAAAAATAGATAAATACACGGACAGACAGATAGACAAAACGATTTAACAAACAGAGAGGGGAATGCTCGAAGAGGCAGGCAAACACATACAGAGAGACAATCAGACAAACAGACGGCAGGCAGAGTCATAAACAGCCGGCGGGATATGCCCAGACGATGTATACTTGAACGCTTCAGCCACGCCTCTTGCTGTTCTATTACACACCTTGCCGATGCTCCATGTTAATAAGAACACTCAGGGCTATTTAATTTGATGATCCATTGAAATAACAATATAGCTTTCGGTAAATCACTTCTATTATTATTAAGCTAACCCCAATAGCCATAAATTTAAGGTACTGCTTCGAATCGAGTCAAAGGCAAAAGCAAAAACACAATTAAGTTAGTGCTCCAAGTGGATGTCAAAATAGCAGGGTCAAAAGTTAAGATTTAAATCAACTTATGAAAGCTTTCAGCTGGGAAAACATACACGAGCACACACAAGTGCATAAAGTAAGAAATCGTAGTGAGACGGAGTGCGGTAACATGTCAACGTAAACTTATCAGGCAACTTCCGGTGAATGCCACAACAAGGCAGTACACAGAACGTGAGCCACCCAACCACACCAAACAGACAGACGGACGGACGTACGGAGAGACACAAGCGAACAGGACAAGCCAGCCAATATCCTGCACAACATGGCAATACAATGCAAACAAACGGGGCACAGAGACTGGCACCTCCTGCATGTAAACCAACTAATGAAACTGTCAACTGGCCACAATACAGCCCCCAGGGGTTCCGGAAGGGGGATGGCGTTGAGTTGTTGTTGTTGTTGTTGTGCTTTTGCCTTTCACTTTTCAATATGCGACGGTGGCGCCAGCAACAGGCAACAGGCGGTTGCATTGCATCATTGGAAAAACGTTCATTAAAAGACGTCGACACCAAATTGATTGCCCAGCCCAGCATTTGATTAGCACTCAAGGCTTAAAACTTATCTAGCCGACGCCAGTTTTGTCCAAATGCTCATATATGGCCACAGAGCTGTGTGTGGACTGCGAGAGAGAGAGAGAGAGACAGCGACGATGGCCATTGTCAAACTGGGAAATTCAATTTTCACAAACAATAGGGGCAGAAAAATTGACTGAAAAGCGTCGGACTGGTCAGCCAAATGGGCTGATTGGCAAAAACCAAAAAAAGGAAAAAGAAAAATTGGAATGAAAAACAGAAAATGCATTTGAATTTAACTCGCGGTATTTTTAGCATTGTCATAATCGAAAATATGAACGCAGAATCGTTGAGTCAGTTATGGAAATGGTTTTTCCCTGCCATATGCATGTGTGTGTATGAGTGAGTGAGTGTGTGTGTGTGTCTATTATGCATAAGCCGCCAGCTACCCCAACCGCTCGCAGTCATAACGGAACAGCTGCTTTTATGCTGTACTACTCAGCCAAAAAGTTCGCATCATGCCCTAACCGAAAGCTGAGACTTCATTGAAATATGAGACCAGATGAAGCAGCAAAATAAAAAATAAATAAAAGTCGAACTCAATTGCTGTTACTAGTAAGTGACTAGACGAAGTTAATTAATTTGTTTTATTATATATACACATATATATGTAGAGAGAGAGAGATTGTGTGTGTATTATGTTACACTAGTGGAAAGGTCAGAAAGTTTTCTTTAAAATAAGTTCGAAAAGCAATTATCTTAAAATAAATTTATTTATTGTGCGCATTTTAGATGCGCATTAAACAGAATTTTGAGATTTGAAAAACAACGTTAGAAGCAATTTAATTAATATGGAAATTGAATAAAATTTTTAACCAATGAAAAAAAAACCAAATAAAATATTTATGTAAGTTAAATAAAATATTTAAAAAAAAAAAAAAATATATATATATATATAAATAATATTTAGAATATATATAACATTTAAAAAA